GTTGCTTGCATTGTGAGCCTTCCTTCTCCATAACCTGCAGTATCCAGACTTTCATGGGCGAGCTGTCACTGCATTGACCCCCTTGTTCAGCAGCAGCCAGGCCTTCCAGAGGCAACCGGGTCACCTTCCAGAGCACCGGAGTTTCCGTTCCACAGGAGACCTCAGCAGCTTTGCTCTTTCACCCCAGTTTGTTTAATTATTGCATGTTTCTGGGACTGGCTGAGGTTCAGGAATAACACTGAATTTGTCTTAAGAGAGGTGCCTCATACAGATGTGCATACTGCTTGCAGCTGGGTTGTAGGAGAGGCGAGGGTCCCGCACGGCTTGTCCCAATAAACCACCTCCTCTGCAGCCCCTCTCCGGCACCGGTCCCTGCCGGCAGACCCCGCTGCAAAAGGGGTTCAGAGCAGCTTTCGATTGGCTCCTCTGCGTTCCTCCTGGATGGCAGAGCCCCCATATCCTGGCTGACGGAGAGCACACCTAGCAGAGACTGCTCTGAACACCTCCCTTTCTATGTGTGGAAACAATCTGTTGATTGGAGTTGATGCGTTTCTGTTGTTTTCAGCTGTCCTTGAACCAGCAGGAGCAGGCACATCTGGTTTCTCTGGGGCTCAAAAGCTGCAGGCGCAAGTCCTTGGTGTTTTGCGAGCCACCACTGCACTGCATCTCCCAAGCTACAGTGGGGTTGAAGAGCCTTCCCCCGTCTCACTGGGGAGCTGTCAGGGCAAATGCATCACATGAGGAGGCCCTGCGTGGTATAAACGATTCAGGCAAACCAGCTCGTGTTTCCATATCGCTTTCTTCAATAGCATGGCAGGGTTTTTGTTTCCTCTGGAGTAACTAGCGTGCCTTCCCTGGTCAGCTCAGGTGGGCATGTTCTCGTGCCATCATTTCCAGTTGCTTCAGAAGAACCCATACCCACTCCCAGACCCGGCCAGCGGCATCTCCCAATTGCTAACACTCAATTCTGCTCTGCTTTAATTTTTTTTTTTAATTTCTTTGCAGGAGACAACAATGTCTTTCTCGCTGTGCTACAACACAACTGTAAATTCAGTAAGTACACGGCGTAGGATGGAGACCAACTGACTACTCACCGTCGCATTACTTGTAGAAGCTGGGGGATAGAATCATAGAATCACAGAATGCTTTGGGTTGGAAGGGACTTTTAGAGGTCATCTAACCCAACCACCCTGCAGTAAGCAGGGACATCTTCAACTGGATCGGGTTGCTCAGAGCCCTGTCCAACCTGGCCTTGAAAGTTTCCAGTGGTGGGGACTCCACTGCCTCTCTGGGCAACCTGCTCCAGGGTTTCAGCACTCTCATGGCAAAAAAATTCTTCCTTATATCCAGTCTAAACCTACCCTCCCTTAGTCTAAAGCCATTACTCCTTGTCCTATCAATGATGTGACTCTGGAAAAGCAATGGCTGCCTTTATGGTGGGGTGCTGACGGGGATTTTCTCTGACAGCCTGTCCTAATGCCGCTGATGATATATTTTAGCAGTAAGAACAGGTGAGATGCCTAAAGTACCCAGATTTCAGCATTTGTGCCTGTTTCCCTGTTTATTTGGCCATGAGTGAATCTGGCGAGAGGTGACTTTGGTAAGCCTGCGACGCAGCTGAGCTTTCTCCCTGCTCCGTTCACCAAAGGGAACGAGAACGTTGTTTCCGATTTCTTTTGCGTTCTCTCCTAGCAAGAGCGCCGAGGGGGATGGGTCATTAGCCATTGCGGCACTCCCCAGAGCAACCTTCACATGTCCTGGCACTCAGTTAAGCTGTGTCTCGCTGCTAAGCCTTTGCTAAGAGCCATGGGCTTCTCTCCCTTCCCACGAAAAGCTGTGTGCGTGCCAAGATTTGGGCTTTCTCACCCCGCCTTGCTGCTGGTTGCACTGTGCAGTGCAGTCTCTGCTCTGAGGCACAGACCCGTGCTGGCTTGGCGTCTTCCCAGCCAGGGTGGCACAGCGTTTTGCTGCCGAGTTGCTGGCGATGGGGTCAATCTGGCCAGGTACAGCCAGTCAGAGGACAGCAAAGGGCGATTTCTGTGGCTGCTGGGTTACTGAAAGGTGGATGCCGATGTGGGTATTGCTCACAGTCGTTCTTGGCCAAACAAGAACGGTGCTGCTTCTTCGGCTGAATCCAACTATCTCTGGCGTCTAGGGGTGCTTATCTCTTGTGTATGTTTTTTTTCCAGCCTCAGCCCCCCCTTAGAGAAAACACTTCTCTTTCTTCCTTCCAATCGGAGCCATTGCTGGAAAGATGGGAGTTTGGGTTCTTGCTTATGGCTGGCAAGTACGGGCCATGAGCTCAGGGTGCAGCTGGGTGCTCCATGTGCTACCGACCACACGCTGTGGCTGAAGTGTTGCAACTGCTCACTCAGCCCCTCTCCTTGCTCGCTTTGTATGAGATGCTTTTTTGTAAATGTTCTACAACTGTCTTCTAGAATTCTGCGCATATGTCTGGAAGCACAGCTGTCCAGGCAGATTGTTCTTCTGAGGTAAGAGTTCATTTCATTACTTAGTCTGTTTGACTCTGTGGAAAGTTTTCCCTCTGCAATCAAAGTGCTGCTTCCCTGTCCATCTCAGTCTGCAGGCAGCTGGGCTGGACACCCCGGTTTTGATCCCCGACTGCAGTTTTCTTCCTTGCATGGGCTTTGCTTGCTGTTGTGTGGTAGCCACTCACTCAGCTACTAAGCACCGAGCTGAGGGATCAACCTGTGCGTGTTTGACCTGACTGTCTCTCTCTGTGAGCCAGTACGAGCCCTGGGTGGTCGGAGTAGCCGCAGGAATACCCAGCTTCCTGGCCTTGGTCCTTGCAGTCATCTTGGCGGTGTTCTGTGTCCTCCAGTGGAAGAACTACAGCTGGACCCAGGTGATTACCTTCCATCTCCTGGGTGCCTTGCTACGTCCAAGCCTAGGCCTCCACCTCAGAAACCTGATTCCACACCCTGTGAAGCTCTTGGGATGTTCAGGACCGCATCCCTGGGCACTCAGACGGTCTCTGCTCTGTCTCTCACAGGCTGGAACTCACCTTAGGAGTTGCAGTTTCTTTGTCCTTGTTCTGGCTGTAGATGTGAAAGTGAGGGGTTTCCCCTGTGTGAGAAGAGCAGACAGATTCTGGCTGTTCTAGTAAAGGCAACACTCGGGCATTGAGGTTTCCCACCTGCGAGGTTGTTCTCGTGGGCGGGCATCAAATGGAGCCTGTGACTGTTGCAGATGAAAGAGCGCTTTGGCATCCAGCTTGGAAGATGTTGGATATTATCGCCAGTATTATCCCCTGTGTGGTTATTTATCCCCTGAGTGTGTCCTGAGTTCTGGAGCTGTTCAGCAGAGACCATTTCCTCCCTGCCCTGTGCTTTCTGTGCAGTGGTTGGTGAGTTGTAGCTAGATGTTGTTGGTCACTGTGTTGTTCATTGTTTCAGACGAATCAATGTCCCGATGGGCAGGAGGAACATGAATACGAATCGTCCCCTCGCAGACCTCCAGACGTAAGCCATCTGTTCACTGATTCTTGACACAGCGCGCGTGCTGCCGAGTGACTTTCTAAATGCAGGCCTGGCTTTAAGGGTAGCCCTGGGCTAGTGGGGAGCTGAGGCTGAGCTCTCTCCCCACGCTCGCCTGGGGCTGCTACGTGACTGCTCTTTCTGGTTGCATGGCCGACCATTTGACGCAATCCCAGACGAGAGGCCAGCAACGGTGTGCTGTTATTTTAGAGTACACGGGCGTTGGGGCTGAACCTTGCACGGGTGAGAATGGAGGGAGAAGGAGGGCTGAACCTAAGGTGTGAGCAAACACGACATTTTCTTCAAAGCACTGCCAAACATTTCCAGAGAGGGAGGCGGGCGTTCGTGCATGCTGTATTCTCGGCAGTACTTACAAGGTCTCCGAGTACCCTGCGACAACCGTCAGAGAAATGATGTTTTTCCTCTAGGACTTTTATATGACCATGATGCAGGGGACAACAAATATCTATGCAAATGAAGATCGGGACAAACACCGCAAACCAGACATCTCCACACAAGCGAAGCCCATGAGGACACAGCAGCCCAGAAGAGAGCCGCCTGAGGTGGAATCCGTTTATGAGAACCATCCACCCCATCACTGAAAGAAAAGCACCAGATAGTGGCTGGGACGAGAAGTAACAGGCACGATCCTTTTCCAGGACACCAAGGGTCACACGGTTGCAGCCCATGACCAAACAAGTTTTCTCTGTGTGTACCTTAAATTCTGTGGAGGACAGGACACAGAGACTTTGGATGGGGCAAGAACTTGTTTGCAGTGATGCCTCTGAGGTGCGGATGCAAAAGGAGATTCCCCTGGAGTACCCAAGCTCTCAGGGAGAGATGGTTGTGCTGTCCTCCTAAAATTTAAGTGAATTCATTTTAATAAATAGCATCTAAATCCATGCAGTGACACTGAAGGTAGACAAGAGCAGCCAGAGAGTTGGTTGGAGTCCCCCTCACTCAGGTGCCTGAGCTTCTGGCAACAGCCTGCAAAGACAGGCGTGCGCTCTTCTCTGAATTTGGCAGGAGGAGTCCAGACCGTAAGCGAGGCGAAAGGATAGGCCCAAGAAAAGCAGAAGGAGAAGACAAGCCCAGCTGCAGAACTTAGGCCCTGTGATGGCAACATGCCTTCGTTCCCAACTGTTCCTTGCCCGTAACGGCCTCTCGCTCGCGCTGTACCTTGGTGTTTTGTCTGGGAGGTGGGGTGGGACTGTGGTTCGGGCAGGAGACACCATCCAGCGGAAGGATCTCCTCATCAGGCTTGGGGGAGATGGTGGGAGGAGGACAGAGAGGAGGGATGCTGCAGCTACCCTATGTCCAGCTGTGGGCAGCGGGACTGGCAGCCCCAAGAGGAGCAGAGAGAGCTGCTGATAGCCCCCAGGCTCCAGGACCCCTTTCCCTCCCATGCCATGAGCCTTGTGACTGGGTCCAGTGGCCGACGCAGGCAGGACCCTTGCCCTGGGAGGGACAGGCCGTCCCACAGGAAGAAAATAACGGCTCAGATCCTCATGAATAGGATTTTCTTTATTGGGACATTAGCGTAGGCACATGCAGCACTATCCATCTGCAAAGCATGCTGCTCTTGGTGGGACACAGGCTGCGGGAGAAGCAGGTCGTGAGGAGCCATGGGAGCTGTGTTTGGGAGGAAACCAGCTGTTTGATGCAGCCGCTGAGCTCAAGGAGCCCGTGGGCAGAGCATGAGTGCAACAGGCTGCACCGTCAGCCGGGGCCACCCTGTGACGCGGAGGAGTAGCAGTTCCAGGAGGCTATGAAAGTGTCTGCTCCATGCATGTACCTGTGTTTGGGCTGCCTTGCTGGAGGCCTTGGAAAGGTGAGCCAAGGCTCCTGCTGTTGGTTTTGGTAAGGGCGATGTAAAGGAGAAGCCAGGCTCAGGACAGCATGGAGGGAGGTTTTGTGCTTTTCAGCGGCGGAGAGCACAGAGCTGGTAGACAGGAGGTACGTTGCCTGTTCCACTCAGTGTCGGGGTTATGTTGAGTTCCTGGGGGTCGACCACAGGCTTCAAGGTAAAGTTCTGCAAGATGGTGGCCATGAATAAGAATATCTCCATGCGTGCCAGGCCCTCTCCAAGGCATATTCGCTTCCCTGCAAGGGAAAACAGCAAAGGCAGTGGGCATTGCCGAGTAGACCAGAGTCTGTGCTAAGCAGATGTGTGGTGCAGCTTTATTTACCAGATACAGCCGCAGCAGTGAGACGGCTGTCGGGATGACTAAGGACATTCGCAAGAGAAGAGTTTGTTGGAGAAAGGCCGTTGGAGTTTGGTTGGGTGTGTGAAGGAAGAACAGGAGGAGGAGTCTTCCACGTGGAGGGGGCACCACAGGAGACGAGAGAGAGCAAGGTGACGTAAAGCACGGGTGAGCAAGCGGAGGGTTGGGGCTGTTGGTAGGTGAGTGGTTGCAAGTAGCCCGAGAGGTCCTAAGGAGGTGCTGGGGAAAAGTGGAGCTACCACAGAAAGACAGGTTGGTTAAGGATGACTTTGGTCTTTTTATAGGAAGGGGACAGGTAGTTTTGAAAGTGTCAATGGGTCCCTTTCACGTCATTACACCGGCAGCTCCTAGTAGGAGGTTTTAGAAGCCCCCAGGCCCAACCAAGGTGGGAGATGCAGCTGGGGAAGGAAGTAGCAGGGAGGAGTTATCCAGAGAGCAGAAAGCCGCAAGGAAGCACCAGTGCGACAATGCTGGGAATAGGGAGTGTGTGTTATAGGGAAAGGCAGGGTAGTTCCCAGAGGAGGAGGTTGACGGAGAGAGGAAGAGAGAGAAAGGCTGTGCTTTACCTGCTGAGAAGGGCATGAAGAACTCGCTCTTCCTAAAGGTGCCATTCTCGTTCAAGAAATGCCCAGGGTTGAACTCATTTGGGTTTGGAAACTCTTTGCTGTCATGGAGGACAGAACTGAGGATGGGAAAGATGGTGGTGCCCTGAGGTAAAACAAGGAGAAGAGCAGAACATGAAGGGGAGGCGAGTTAGATCACTGCATCCGACTGCCTGCCCAGTTCAGACTGAGCTTCCCAGCACAGCCCAACCAGCGCCTGTGCTTTGAACTAGTAGATCACAGGATGGCAGGGCTTGGAAGGGACCTCTGGAGATCATCTAGTCCAACTCGACTTGCCAAAGCAGGGTCACCCAGAGCAGGCTGCAGAGGTCCGTGTCCAGGCAGGTTTTCAAAATCTCCAGAGAAAGAGACTTCCCAACCCCTCTGGGCAGCCTGTTCCAGGGCTCCGTCACCCTCAGAGGGAAGAAGTTCTTCCTCATGTTGAGCTGGAGCTTCCTCTGCTTCAGTTTGTGCCCGTTGCCCCTTGTCCTGTCACTGGGCACCCCTGGAAATACTCTGACCCCAACCTCCTGACACCCACTCTTCAGATATTTGTAAGCACTTATAAGATAAAAACTTTCATGAAGGGCTGGATGACGAGAAGGTCAGGCCACAACATTCCTAGCTTTGGCTCGTAACCGACCGCCTAAGAGCAAACGCGCTGCCACCTTGTTGTTGAACTTGAGGGAGCTTGCGCACTAACCTTGGGAATGACGTAGTCTCTGAAGTGGGTGTCTTTGGTCACAGTGTGAGGGAGTGCCAGAGGGATGAGGGAGATGAAGCGCTGGATTTCATGGACCACCGCATCTGTGTAGGGCATCTGGGTGCGGTCAGCCACACAAGGTCTTCGTGATCGTCCGACTACCCGGTCAATCTCTTCTTGAACTTTCTCTGTCATGAGAGGCAAAACCATAACATGGGTAAATCAGACCAAACCTGCCTGAACAGGTTTCCCTAAGCTGTCCGCACATCACAGATCACAGTTGGTGGGACCATTGATGTTTGGTTTTGGTGTCGACTAGAGTACAGCTGCACTGC